TATGTAAATCAGCATCCCTGTGACCTCGGTAAGACGCCGTTCTCTGATTATTTTGCGGAGTGCCTCAGAAAGGTCGGCACTCAAGATTGTGTCCTGGCTTTTTAGTTTGTCTAAGACAAATTTCAGGGTTGTGTCAGCAGTTATCAAACTCAACTCTTCTGCAGAGAGCTTCTACGGCCAGTTTAAACTGCAATCGTTCTGTCACGTGATTCATTGATGTCACAACCAACCGTAAATTAGAATTATGCATCAGGACTAGGATAGGAGTTACTTATTTTATTTAGCACAAAGACACTTTATTTAGCGTGAGCAGAAAGTCAACTGGCAATTAGATCAGCAGAGGTAAAAGGGCAGGCGGAGCAGTGTAGAGGAGGGTGTAACATGTGCTGCACTGAACGGCAACGTCGCTCTTGCCGCCGAGTGATAGTGCAAGTAGCAAAGTGGCAAGGTTGACAACATAGACTTTTGCACCATTATTTAGAAAGTTAATTGAGCATTTGTGGATCCACACCGCTGAATCCAATCCAACAGGCCGAAAAATGTGCTGGATCCAGCAATTGCAATCCCTAATGGTGTAATGTTATGGAATGACAATTACATTGATTTCCTTTTATAAATTATAACGAATATAATTAAAGAAGAGACTGAAGAATTCATAATAGAAGATATACTGAAAAAAAAAACCTTTATGTACATAAAAAAAAAAAATAATAATATGAAAGAAAGTTTGAAGGAGGTTTCAAGAAAATTAGAAGATTCTTGTGAGTCAAGGAAGAAAAAGTGATAATGTAGTGTAGGGTTGGATTCATTGAAAAATTCAGCAGGCAATTTAAATGAATAGAATTTTATAAATTTAGGAAATAATGAAAACATGAAAAATGATTCCTTCTTTAAAGTGGCTATATTAATACAGAAGAGTAATATAACAATGATTGAACAGTTTAATAAATTAAGGCAAGATATTAACTCTGTTCAAGTTATTTTGAAACCAATATGCAAAATAGTGATTGAATTAATAGTAGTGAAGAGTAAAAGTATTTACAATTGAAATATGAAATTATCATTTTTCTAATGACAATTTCATATTTCTTTAAAGTTTTCTTTAAATTTAATCAACAAATAAATTTAAAAATAATTTAATAATGAGAAATTATTCCTTTAAAGGAATAACAGAATTGATGTACCAATTTAGCATAAATTAATTCATTAGAATTGCACTTAATGCAGATCCAGGAAGATAATTTACAAGGGTTGTCCCAAAAGTACAGTGCGTAGTGCGCTCTAGCAGGCCTTGTAGGCAACATAGACAGCGGATTGAAGTGTCCAGTGTGTAGATTGAAGTCTTACGAACACGTTGGTATCATATGGTAGTGAGATTCGTTTATAGGGAAAATGCCAAAAATTCAAAAAGACAACGAGAACAGTCCGTTGGATCAGATTTCAGCAATACAGCAACGTGTGTATATTTGCATCAAAACAGTGCATGGTAAAAAAGTACCCAAAATTCATGCTGCATACCACAAACTTTCTTCAGAATGTCTTGTGCCCAAAAATCCATAAACTGCGTCCAGGAATGTTGCAAAGTGGTGGGTTGATTTTTCACGATAATGCGCCCGCACATCAGTGCACCGATCATCGAACTTCTCAAAAAATATGGCTGGGAACAGTTCCACCACCTGGCTTATAGTCCTGATCTGAGCCCACCTGACTTCGATCTCTTCCCCAAGCTGAAGGAACACTTTTGGGGGGTGCGTTTTCTGACACTGGAAGAGCTCCGAAGAGAAGTGACAGATTCGGATGCTCAGTAAGAAGGGGACGCTGAACGGAATCCAAGCATTTCTGTGCTGCTGGCAAGTATGCATTGATAAGGGAGGGGATTATTTTGAAGGCCTGTAATCACTTGTATCTTCTTCAATAAATATTTTTCAAGTTAGAGCCAACTGTGCATTACTTTTGGGACAACCCTCGTAATAGACATTTATGAAATTAATAACAACAAAACAAATGTTTAAAATTAAAAACTTAATCTGATAAAATAATTCAAGACAAATAATCAGACTTTTTTTGCAAAATTGTATTTTATAATATTCTTAGCTTTTCTCTTCTGTATGTAATTCTTGCAAGTTTTCTTTAAATTGAAAATTTATTGTAAGATGGTAAGAGAGCAAATGTTATACTAATGTTTCATTCCATACTTTTACTTTCTAACTGTTACAGAATATATCAAAAAGGACAGTATGGCCATTATTCAAATTTTAACTCCCCAGTTTCTTGACACTCCGTAGTCCAAAAACAAAAAATTCTGTGCGCGCTGCCATCTGTTTTGCATTACATCTCAGAACTGAATGAACTAAAAATTTTGAAAAGAAACAATTATTTTTATATATGGGGCATTTATGATATTAAATTTTGGTACTTAAGATCAAGATGGCAGGGAAAGAGAGATCATATGTTATATTTCAAGCAGAATCAAAATTAATGTAAGTTTTACTCATTATTAGCTTTACAATTTGTTTCTAAACTCACTCCTACCCCAAAATAAGCCTTTTGCCTATTTATAATAATTAATAATACAAAAATTAATATTTTAAAAATAAAATCTCATCAGAAAAATAAAATCATAACAGATGGTGCCACACACAACTTTAACTTGTAAATTACACTATATTAATTATTTCACACTTCTTTTAATGCAAAAATGTAAATATTTGTTTTTTACATATTTTGAGACATTGAGTTTGAANTGACAACATAGACTTTTGCACCATTATTTAGAAAGTTAATTGAGCATTTGTGGATCCACACCGCTGAATCCAATCCAACAGGCCGAAAAATGTGCTGGATCCAGCAATTGCAATCCCTAATGGTGTAATGTTATGGAATGACAATTACATTGATTTCCTTTTATAAATTATAACGAATATAATTAAAGAAGAGACTGAAGAATTCATAATAGAAGATATACTGAAAAAAAAAACCTTTATGTACATAAAAAAAAAAAATAATAATATGAAAGAAAGTTTGAAGGAGGTTTCAAGAAAATTAGAAGATTCTTGTGAGTCAAGGAAGAAAAAGTGATAATGTAGTGTAGGGTTGGATTCATTGAAAAATTCAGCAGGCAATTTAAATGAATAGAATTTTATAAATTTAGGAAATAATGAAAACATGAAAAATG